GTATTTTATGTTTATATTCGTACCAATATATAGAACGTGTACATATGTTGCTTGGACTTTCCTTTCTGCACATCTTCCTTGATACAACTTTCACATACAGGTTTCAGTTTGAAGTACATTTAAGGTACAACGCCCAGTAACCTATTTTCAACATTATTACGCGGATTTCATTAAATAATAAGATATATAGGAGTTAATGATTTATTTATTATCGTTTCCTTAAATCCCCATGCGCCTTAATATTCAATCAAATCCACGCGAGAGCGCACCAAAAAATATCAATCTACTATTAAGAGCCGATTGTTCCAACTTTTTTGATAAGTTACCTTACAGATAAATCAGATAAAAGTTATCTGTAGATTGTTGAAAAAGAGATGGATGATGCGACTCTCCAGGAACCTTAAATAATGGTTATTTTCAACAAAGAATATTTTCTTAAAATGTATTCATCACAACTTTCAGAGAAACTCAACATTATACAGGGTGTCCCAAACTTTCCTCCGTAATTTTTGTAGGAACGGATATAATAGATGAATTGTAGTAGCGCCATCTGCTGTTGTATATATATTAGAAAATATTTAAACTGAATAAAAAAATGCTATACCATTTTGTAAATGGTATATTTATTTATATAGATCTATATAAATCTATATAGATTTTTAGATATTATTTAATGAAGACTTGTTCATTATCGCACACAATCATGTAACACTTTTCTTTCATTAATAACTAAAAATCTGCGCGTGGTTAGTAGCAAAATGATGAAAGATTTTTTTGTTCAATTTGATCTAATGTATAAACATATAATAGCACACATTGCTTTATTGCGGTTCATCTACTATATCGCGCGTGATCATTCATCTTCTTTAATTAATATCTCGACTATTATTGCGAATATCGCAAAACGATATAGAACTTTTATGTTCATTTCAACCCGTTTTACGTTCTCACAAAAATTGCGGAAGAGAGTCCAGAACATTCATGTATACTTAGTATACATGAATGTATGTCTATAGAAAAAGAATCTATTCTCTTTACTATATTGAAAAAAAGTCGACTCGATTTTACTATATTGAAAAAAAGTCGACTCGATTTTACACGATGAAAAATCCGAATTTTTCTTTTAATATTCTTGATTAAGATATTAAACTTGTTAAGATTCAGAATATATTTTGAATAAGTTTGATGCTTGTGATAAACTTATGATGAATTTGTGGATATATAAACCTATGGAATACTTGAATACAGTATGTGCTTTGCTCTGTGTGCCGAAAATAGAGTACCGGTTACTGAACGTTTTATTTTCACCTAAACAAAAATGTTACGAAAACAATTTACAGAGGATTCAATAAAATAGATCTACAATTGCAGAAATTTAGGACATTAAATTCGACATTAAACAGACATTGAATTCTCGATTAACTAAAATTCCGAAGTCGAAAAGCTGTATTAATATTCGTTACTTAAAATTTACTTCAAGTAAAGTTACTCGGATTTGAATTTAGAGTTAGACGTGAACTGTCAGCTGAATCGCGATGTAATGTCACGCATATATTGACTCAAAGTAAAAAACTCAAATCTAACTCTAAATTCGTATCTGGATATCTCCTGTGGAACAAGTTTCAAGTAATAATTATTAATACAGGCCGAAATGACCGTTGAATATAACTGACAATAGGAAATTTTTGCAATACCGTCTTTCAGACACGGTAAACGTTAAAGTGCATTCCGATATTCACTGTTAGTACTGTAAATCTACAATTTGTGTTACATATTCTATAGATTTGAAGTATCAATGAATATCGAAATGCACTTAGAGTTTACCATATCTAAAAGACGATATTACAAAAACTTTGTACTAATAAAACCACACAGCAACGCGACACGTCGATAACGATAAGTGCCTCTACATGTAAAGAAAAACTTGGTTGAATTAATCAGAATTCAGGATACATCAATCAGACTGTTTCATAAAATATGAACAAACTATATTTTTGGTTAAAGTAATCAGACAAGTTTGGTTATTTCAACCAAACAAATTTATATTCACATTTCTTACTAGAAATTTTATTACTTTTTGATTTAATATTATATGATATTTACAGAACTCCTTTTTATTTTAATGGGGATTTGAATTTAGGATCTCCAGATTATGTGTAGTCTGTCCACGCGTCCAACGTCACTTTTACATCAGTTTTAAAATTAGTTACATCAGTTGATGTAACTAATTTTACAAATTATTCGTTATCAGAACAGAAGTAGTTTCGTTACCAGAATAGAAAAAATTTGTTGAGTGAAATTGGAATCACGTTAATTTGCTATTGATGCAAAATAATGTATCCTTAGCAAGTTTATTTGCTATCGGAGCAAAACTACAACTGCTTATATAAATTCATCATAGTTCTTATAGCAAAATAATTTGTAGATTCAGCAAATTGTATTCAACAAATAGTGATTAGTACTCTTAGCTGTCCATATAATAACGAAAAGATCTTGCTAGACCAGCAGAAAATTTGCTGAGCCAGCAAATTATTTTTCTCAGTGTAATCAGTGTAATCAGCAAATTTTTCTACCTGTAATCAGCATTGAATACCAGAATATGTGATTATAACCAGAAATTTTGTTTAGTTCAACCAAAGTCGTTGACCAAACGTGTCATATTCATATCCAACGATACTCTCCAATCATAATAAGCAGACAATTGGATCAGCAGTAACCAAACTTTGGCCGTTGTCAGGCCTAAATGTGTTCCAGCCGGTTATCAGAATATTTCATTATAATAACCAGAAATTTTCTGCTTAATCCTGTCTGTTCTGCTTAATTCAGCTAAACCCTGTTTAACCAAACATGTCACGTTAATTTAACTGAGGTTTCTTTGCCGTGTAACGAATAAACGACATCACCAAATTCCGGATTAAAGACGTGAGGTCAATTAAGGTCCGGTACTCGAGGGACTCTCGATGTATCAAGAGCCGGTACCCTTTCGCACGAGAAAAAAGGACCTACACGGGACTCACAGGCGATGGCAGGGGGGGAGGGAGGGAAGCGGGCGGGACGGGGAACGAGGGCGAGCGATCAACGAGGATCGAATCCGCACATGTGTGCGAGGACGCGCATATGTGCACTTGCGCACGGAAATTCAACAGTGCATACGGGCACGCGGCCCCCCACAGCGGTCGTCCTGTAAAGAGGTTACTGCGCGCGCTTTCTCTCTCTCTGTCTCTCTTTCTCTCTCCGTCTCTCTCCTCTTGCCGGTGCGCCCTACAGTTTCGGCGGGCCCTTTCCTGGCCGGCCATTGGCGGCCGCCTCTCCCCACCACTCGCCGGCTCGCTGTATATAAGTAAAGGTCGGCAGCGCGCGGCAGCATTCGGCGTTCGGTCGGCGTATTGCCATCTTGGGAGGCTCCGTCGTTTGTTCGTTCGCTCACCGGCTCCTCTTGACCGTTGGTATCCACGTGTCTTCCGTCAGGAGAAAGAAAAGCGAGATCTCCCTCGAAAAAAAAGTGCGAGTCTCGAGTGATTGAAATTCAAACGGAATTCACCCGTGAGTGTGCTCATCAGAAACATGGTTTTCCATGCTTCCGGTGCGGCGAACGTTCCCTGTGTGACAAACTGTGACAGCTCTAGTGTGCCGCCGTGGTTTCGTACTCACAGGTATGCATCAACGCCACTCTCTGGTTCACTTTAGATCAGAACTCGCGTGTCGTCCCGCGTAGGTCAGCGTATATCGGCGGGGTGGCCGCGCGCGCGGATGGAATGTGCCGACGAGTACGGTTCTTAGGCAGTGCAGTGTGCCGCGAAATACTCGTGTACTGTGGGAAAAGTGGACTCTCCATTGTGTTTTGGTGACTTGGGACCCCTCGTTATTTTTTTCGAGCCTAACGTCTAACTACGCACCGAGCTCTACCAACAAAAACGTACAGCTTACCCATGCAGCACAAACTCTTCGAGAATTTCTCTTAAAGACGTCCAAAAAAAAAGTACTATTTTCTAGACGTCTTTAAAGGACCGCCTTTTAAGCCTAACCTATACAATGCATTCTTTACTTCCTATTTCTTGTTCTGTCTTTTTCTGGCTTAAGGATTAAATCAGAAAGAGACAAAAAGAAAGAAACAGGAAGCATAGATCACAATTGTAAGTTAAGCTTTAGAAATTTGTGCTGTCTATGGGCAGTCTCATTCACGTCTCGTCAGATGTCACGTTAAAATGCGCTTGAGTTACGAGTATTGTGTTGTGCTAAAAGCAACGTGTCGCTACGTAGATATAACGTATTGTGTGATAACAGTGTAACGATACGTTACACAGATAACACGTTACACACGTAACGACAAGGAGAGGGACATTGTGTCGCCAAAATCATACGGAGCAAGCGTGTCTTTTCTCTTGTCTCTGGACACTACAAATCGCCCGATCGTCGGCGCTTACCGCGACCACGCGGCCGCATGCGCAGTGAGACTCCCTCCACGCTATGATGTGTGGCGCGCGTTGAAGGCCCGCGCTAATCGCGCGCCAACAGATCGCGAAACAGCAGGTCGCGCGGGACCGAGTTTCGCGTGCCGCGATTCCTGCGGAATCGATCGTCGCTGATTAGATCTCGTGTGGTGCAATTGGGTGCAGAGGTTCTCGTCGTCACGGGGAACACGCTCTCTCACGGAGATTCCGCCTGGGATGGAAATGTTAGTGCGGGATTTACTCAGGCCTACAACCTTCTGGTTGTACGTAGTATGATGGATATTATTATTCTCAAAGAACACGGTTTGACGAAGTGCGCGAAGACAGAGTCACGGGATCTCGCCCACGGAGGGATCCCGAACTGTCGCCGACGATACGATTTATTGGCGTCCCACCAATTTGTCCGTTGGTTGTAAAGTAATGCTCTTGAGGTTAAGTCGCATGTCATGTCCGACTACTGCTTCGCGCCGGCACGGAACTCGCCCGACTTATCGATCCCGTCATTCCCTGATGAGTCTGATTTTAACCGGACTGTTCGTTTTCTTGCAGTATGCAACCGATGACATGTGGCGTTCAGAGCAGAAGCACTAACGAGGGCGTGCAGAATACTAAGCTACTGTTCTGCTCCAACTGGGTAGAATCTCCGTACAGGAGCTCGATGTTGGACAAATACGACGACAAGGAAAACGATAGCGCCCCCTGCACCTACCAGCCATTCAGTCCACAGAAGGTAAACGCGTTTTCTCTTCATGATTTGAGAGTTTTACTATATTTTTTCTTTCAACTTTTGATATTTATTTCATTAAGCATTAAATTCCTGAAAAACATTAATTTTGATGAGATGATTGTTACATATGTCAAATAACATTTTATATAACAAGTTCATCTTATTATATAGTGTTTTTCCTGTAAAATGTCATGTCTAAAATTGTATTTGCTTTTTCATTTTAATTTCATCAACAATTGAAATTATAATGGAAAAAATATTGTAATAAAAATTTATTGTAAACAAAATTATTGCAATCTTGGATCATAGATCAGAATTGGCTGAAATTATTATATATTTGTTATGCATATTTTACTTTTTATTACAAAATTATTGTAATTGTTTGAATATTTTTTGTATTATATATTATAGTGAATTGTCAAATTTATTATTTCTGGTGATTTATATTACAATTTCAGTATAGCCCAATTTTGCAAAAAGAAATGTAATTTTAACATAATTTTTGTTATAATATTTTCTCTGTGCTAGATCAGATATCTGAATTTAATTTCTACTTCTGATACTATATTATATAACTTTGTTATATAATACTAAAATAATTTTTGTTTTCCACTTTATCTAAAAGAGCATTAAGTTATCAAAGTGCTTAAAGGAATTATGCAGCAATAAAGGAAATATTTGCATATGACAATTTTTAACACAAATTATTCTGGCAATACAACAAACATATATAATTTATATATCAAATAAAACAAACATATTTATTTATATATCAAATAATATTTATATATTAAATATATTTATATATTATTTATATATCAAATAATCATATTTATTTATATATCAAATATATCAAATAAAATAAAAATATTTTTGTAAACAACATAAATATTTATATTTTTTTATTATATATATAATATACTATATAATATAATTACTATATATATATTATAAATATATATTGTAAAAGGCTGTTTAAAGATATACTTGTATAGTCTCTACAAAAAGTCACTGAGAGTTAGAAATACGTTAATATATTTTACATATAAAAATACATGATACATATATATGCATGATACGATACAATTGAATAACAACATATTTTTATTTTAACATCACATTTTGTAGTTTAATTAATTTCATATTATTTTTTACTTTTAAATTCTTATCTCTATATCACAATGAAACTTTGCATACATTATTTTGGATACTTAAAGTATAAAAATATTTAAATACAAAGTACTTTAAGTATAAAAATATTTAAATATTTAAATATCTATATACAGAAATACCAGTTTTTTTTTTTATTAAAGATAACATCATGTGTTTTTATAACAACAAAAAATACTATCAAGTAATATCAGAATAATATTTACAGCATATTAATGACATATTATTAACGTTTTACATATTATTAATATATTATTAAAGACGACGCTAATGCTAACATTTTATTAAAACGTTATCTGACGTTATCACACTTGCTGAATCTACAAAGTGTAACTTTTTTATTCATATTCTGAATCAGTGTCACATTATGTGTGATTATTTTATATATATTTTTTAATGTAATATAAATAAATCTTTAATTTTCTCTTTGTTATTAAAGTTTCGTAAAATTTCCTTATTATTTTTGAGATATGGGCAATAAACTTGTAACGACGAAACGTTGCCTTTCAAATTTCTATTAAGGCGCGACAGATTCTATCGTGGTTTAGGCGACCGTCGCGGGCATCCGTGATCGCGAGTGATCGAGTCGAGATTTTCACGCATTTCCATGCATATTCAATTCGAACGGATATTGAACTCGCGTCGGGAATAGATGTAATGTCTTCTGCGCGATTAGAGTCAACAGAAGTGTCCGGCTTGTGCACCGAAACATGCGCACAGCTGCTTCTTTATTGTCACAACGAAGAGACGCGTCGACTCGAACGACGAAAGTCGCTTCCATTTACATCGCTCGATCGCAGATAGCTCAGTGTAGCTTCCGCGTCGCGTTTCACACCATGAGAAAATTATCTCCACCTCGTCGGTCTCGGATTTCTTATAATACATGCGCGACACCTTGCGCGTCCGGTTGATCGTCGGTGACCCCCAAACGGCGATGTGTTTATCTGTCTGTCTCGCGTGTTTCTCCACGATAATTACATCTATGATTCGTACTACGCCTTCGTCTCTCCCCGAATCGCTTTCGTAGTTTTCCGTTGATATCTTTGATCGATAAAAATTTCCGGAAACCATAAAAAAAATAGGGTCTTCACGATAAAATAAACGGAAATGGACGTTTCCTTGAAAGAATAAGTCACTATATCTGGTTTCTGATACCCATTTTGTCACGAGAATTCTTCCATTCTCTTTTTTTTTTAATATCTCGATAATAATCGTGATTTTTCTCAAGATTTATCATAGATTTTCTTAATCTCTGTATGTATAGCGGTCAGAAAGTTTGTTTATTATTTCATGTTGTTACTATTATGGACTCCAATCCACATATCACTGCTAACTACCTATTTACTATCTACTAACCTATCTATTTACCTATTTACCTACTAATTACCTATTTACTATCATAATTAACTTACCTACTTACTATTTACTATCATAACTTTATATTATTATTTCCCTACTTTTTTCCTCAAAATTGTAATCATAATTCATTTATTCGACGTACTACATATTCCTATCCTCATTCTTGTTTTTCCTTCTCCTCTTTAATCTCTCTCAACCTCCTGTCTCTTTCTCTAAAGTTTCCTCACATTATTACTTTATCTTATCTAATTCATCATACCACATATTTTTCCCAGATCTGTTATATTTCTCTAAAGTTTCCTCACTTATTACTTTATCTTATCTAATTCATCATACTACATACTTTTCCCAGATCTGTTATATTTCTACTAACAAGTTACTGACAGAGCTTGCTGCAGACACCGCGTAAAATTTGCTTTTGCAGATCTGGCTATCTGGGGGAAGCAATAAACGCGAAAGTGTGCCCTAGTTAATTAATTCTCTGTTTGAAAAGTGCGATATTTCTTTTTTTCACGATCGCATTTTTCTTCTGTTTAGAACGTAAAGAAGACACGATGGCCTCTAGAAGATTGGGATCCCAACAGCCAGGACAGCGGCTATGGAGCGAACGACAACAAGGAGGAGAAACGACAGTGCGATGGATTTCGGTTCGCGGAGCCGTCCGGCGTGGCACCACGGCGTATGTCCGTGGATTCGCGCAGCCCGGTGCAATCGCCGATGCGATCCTCACCCCAGCAGTTGAGAGCCGCACGGTCATCCTTCATGCGCCGGTCTTCAGGATACGAGAGCATGGTGGACGATGGCTTCACCGAGCTCATCGACATGGAGACGCTGGAAGACACGACGCACCTACCGAGCGGCATCTCCTCGCTGCTGTCCGGCAACCTCGTTGCGACTGGCACATCGTCGATGGAATACGACGTTTCGACGACTCCTGAGTTCCCCCGCACTGTCTCGAGCAGATTGAGACGGTCGTTATCGCTGTGCGACCAAAATATGCTCTCGCAACCGTTGTCGAAGGTACGTACCTGTCTGTTCCGCTCGCCCAGTGCGACCTCCTCGACGGCGATGTTGGTCGACCGCTATGAGACGAATCCCCGAAGAAGCATCTGCGACGGAATAGACTCACCGCAGTCCGTAAGGTCCTGCAAACGACCGTCGGAGGATCCGCCGACAGTGGACAGTCCGCAGCTCACGTCCAAGAAGTTCCGTCTGTCGAAGAGCTTATGTCTCGACGTGCCCGTTGTGACGACACCCAGCCCCAAGATCCCGAAGATGCCGCTTCTGCAGAGAAGCATGTCCGAAACTGAGGCGAACATCAAGTCAGCGGTGCATCGCAGTGTCACCGACGCCGACCTCACCGGCGACTTCAGTAAGCCCTGCATATTGCCGCTCGAGTCTGGTTATCACCAGGACCTCAAGTGCATATCGTCCACCACACTGGCGGCCCTGTTACGCGGTGAATTCAACGATCGCGTGAAATCCTACAAGATTGTCGACTGCCGTTATCCGTACGAGTATGACGGAGGTCACATCGAAGGAGCCCTGAATCTCTACAACAAGGACCTAATCGAGCAGCACCTGTTCAAACCCCTGACCACGGTTCCCACGATCCAGCCCGACACCGACAAGCGCGACATACTCGTGCTCCACTGTGAGTTCTCGTGCGAACGTGGACCTAATGTCTCGCGGTTCCTGCGCAGCATAGATCGCCAGCGTAACAAGGAGCATTACCCGGCGCTGTTCTACCCGGAGATCTACTTGTTGCACGGCGGTTACGAGCAATTCTACAAGCAGCAGAAGGAGTTCTGCTCGCCGCAGGACTACCGACCGATGAAGCATCCCGATCACGAGGCGGACCTCAAGCAATTTCGCCTTAAGAGCAAGAGCTGGCAGAGTGAGAAGTCAAGAGTGAACAGTCAGACAGTGCGAACGAATCTCAAGCGTTTAGGCTTTTAGACGGACATTGTCATTGTCTCGGCCTCACGTCTGAACGCGTCGCCGATCCTGCTGTCGCTTCAGTCGTACATTTCGTCGTATACTGCGTGACATCGAACGTTCCACACAGGCCGTCGGGGTAAAAACGCGTGCATAGTGCGCGCCGATAAAGTGCAAACGGCGTAAAGAGATTCGCCCTCCATATATATATTTCTTTTCTTTTAGACGCTTTTTGCGCTTATGACTGACTCGAGGAATTCTCCCCCGAGTATTTCCTGTACATAAATGTCGTTCGCGCGAACACATTTAGATTCTAATCGACTCATTAGTACAAGGAGAGAGAGAGAGAGAAGTTTAGAAATACACTTAATATAATATCGTAATATCTTTGATGAAGACGACGGAGATGTAGGCTATGATGATAATGATGATGATATTTCGTCGACCCGCTGCGCATCACGTTCGGGCCGAATTTTGTATATAGAAAACAAAAATTACAAATTTCAGATCGAGGTCGCTTAATTCGAGGTCGCTCTTTAATTAAGTACAACGTATAATGAAACATGCAATATCTCTGCGAGAATCCGAGGGGAGGCAGAAGACGTAGTATTGCGAACATGGGACGCATCGTAGACCTAGTTTTTAACTGTTCATGATACCTCGGGCCATCCTATTGTGTATATACGATTTCAACGAGCGACCCAATCATCGTCGATCTCTCGGTATCGGCATTGCTTTGTCAGCGTCTTCGAAGCAGCTGTTTAAAACGATCGATGCTGTGAATAACATAAAATTATAACTTGTTGCAATCTCGTGATCAATATATATTATTAACATATACGCGGTAGATTGATCCTTAAGTACTTGCGCTCACATAAGGATTAATTGTCAGGCAATTTCTCTTTCATTTGTAATTTTTCTTTTACAAGAAAGATCAGAGCTGCGGCTTTGCGTTAAATCTTTCGATTAAATCCCTAAGCTTTAAGGATTTAACGTATAATTGGCCTACCTAGGAAGGCATCCAGTCTCGCTAACACGTATCTGTATAACTTTCTAGCGCGCGTGAGCACTTAAGATTAATCTCGACGATGTATATTGGTAAGGTGAAGATTTATCGAGTAGAAGTGATATGAACATTACAAAATGTGCAAATCTTTTGTTGTTACATTGTCTAAAATTATTACCACGTTACATAGATAAATATATACGATATGCAATACACAACTGCGTTTCCTTCAACTTATCAGCTCCTTTGTTCTTCCTATTCTTATGTTCTACTTATCATTGATTGACGAGTATCTCGGCGAGCTAATTCTATTGCAAAGTAATTTTATGTAAAAAGTGCGACCAAGTACCTATAAACTGATGGTCCATTTTATTCAGAAAAAAGTTTTGAGTCTAGATTGGTCTTATATTTTATATTTATATTTTATAGTTTTTTACAATTATAAATATGCAATTGTTAAATTGAACCAACATACTATTTCAGAGAAAATAGCCCATTTAATAACTGAATTGATCTCAAAAGCGTCCGATAGATTCTCAGTCGATATGGCTAAATTGGATCAGTTGACTCGTTGATTACATTTTGAAATCATCAGTAAAGTCAAATGCGAGCTGTTATGAAATAAAATGTATTACAAATTAAAAACATTTTTATTTTATGAAAATAAGTGCAGTGCAATTTTAAACGGATCATTTTTTCGGGAACGGCACGTCGTTCACTTTGAAACTTGCGTATTTGTAACCAATCTGCCAAAAATTATAAAATAAGACCAGTTTGAATTCAAAATTTCTTTCTGAATAAAATAGGCCTCTCCCCGTACATTTCACTTTCTGAATTTCATGTAAATCCAATTTTTCAGGAATGCGAAGAAGTTGCGATTCTCAAAAATTGAGGAGATTCGTGATAATAATAATGACGATTCATCAAACCAAATCCAAGTTATCGCCATTGCGGTCGTATTGACAAGCGAGTACTCTAATTCTCAAAAACAAAACAGGAACGCGAGATTTATTTCCGAGATTAATCTATCGAGACGAGACGAATAATAAAACGAATTCCATCTATCGGCGAAGTCCTCCTGTTTGCGTACATATTCGATCGCATTCTTGAAACGAGAGCAACAGCAGTGATGAACAACGAGCCTGTCTCTTCTTCGTCAGAAATGACACCTGTTACGTTGAGCGACGACGTGCTGCAAAATTTGATGTCCCCGAACTGCGAAATTATCAAATGTTACGCGGAGAAATGTGATATGTGTCACAAAGACAGCACGCAAAACGCGATCGATCTTGAAGACGTATCCATTACTTGCACCGAGACGTCAGATGACGAAGGGGAGAACACGTCCGAGCAATTGTCAACAGATATTGAGCAACCGGCGAATCAACTTCGACTCGTGACGGATGCAGAATCGTCCATCGATTGCAAAAAAAATTTGGCGTATAGCATAATAATATTCTTGTATCTTTAAAAGCATGCACACAGAAAAATAAATACTGTATCCAAGTAAATATTTCACAGGGGATAAATCTGTGAAATACTTGAAACAAATAATATTTACTTGGGTGCAGTATATATAGGGCTTATGAAGAAACCTATGACAAACTTACAGATATATATGCAAATTTGTTAAGTTTCTTCATCATAAGCCCTATGAAATTTATTCAAAGTACATTCTGAATCCAAGTAAGTGTAGCATTTCAATCAAGAATATCAAAAGAAAAATTCGTGCGCGCGCGATTTGTTGGCTACATAAAGTAGAATCGATTTTTTAGTCTTATAATATTCTTGTAAAGAGAAAATAAATTAATTTTTAATATATTAATTCTTCTTTTGAGTATATGACAGTTAGCTTTTTTCAAAGTTATGATGATTATATTTTAAAACTATTACCAAAAAAATATTCTCAGAAAATAACTATTACTCAAAAAAGGAAAATAAATCGAGTAAACTGTTTTTTTTAGCAGTAGAATAATATTTTTCTGTGTGTCGAGTCACTTAAAAGATACTTCAGAAATAAATTCTAAAGTTTGCATCTGAATAATATTTAAATTTATTTGAGACATAGTTAAATATATTTGGGAAATTTAGATGTAATATTAACGGAATATAAGATTGATGAAAGATGACTAAGCCTCCCTCGTACGTGTAAGATTAAAAAAATATTTTGGTGCATGTGATACATTGTCGACGTTATTAACTGAATTGAAGCTCTTTTAATTAACAATAAATTATAGATAAAAGAATCAATTTATAAAGAATATTTATAAAAAATCAATTAAAAGAGAAATTGAGTCTTTTATTTATGATTGACGTTATTATTCTCCTTAGAAATTATTATTCGCCACCAATATGGCTCTTGTTGGCCAAACATAATCACTGTTGATTGAATACTTGAAAGCCTTACTACACAGTTTTGTTTAGTTTATATCTGTATTTATAAAAAATTTACTGTCCGGCAGATCTGTCCTTCCTGAGCGTATTCAAAGACTCCGCTTGGAGATAACGAGTCTTCAGGAGGAATTGAATCGGGAAGAGGCCATTTTGCGAGATGAGAAGGAAGAATTTCAGTTTTTACGTGAACAAAGCGACGCTCTCGCGTTCGAAGAAGCAACCGCTGCCGCACGAGCTGCAACCGCGGCTTATGCCATCGAGTCGCCACTCTTGAATGATCTGAGTAAAGATTTTATTTATTGTTGTATTAATACATAATTCATGTCAATAGAGAAATCAAATGATACAGAAAAATATATATTGCATTCAAGTAAGTTATTTGTTTCAAGTATTTCACGAGTATATATATCTGCAAATTTATCATATAAGTTTATCATAAATATCAAGTTTATTTCAAATATATTCTGAATCCTGATAAGTTTAGCATTTCAATAAATAATTTGTGAAGAGAATAAATTCTTCTATTGACTACATGATAAAGAGCTTTTCTCTCCAATTCGTAATGAATATATTTTTAAATTATTATCAAGAAGATATTTTTTGTTGAAGATGATCATTATTTAAGAGAAAGAAAGTAAACTGATCGCTTAGCAGTATGTTTTTCTGTGTGTATAAGTCTGAATGTTGATTCATTCTGTGGCAAATACGCAGGCAAAACTGTGGACATCATATCCGAGAAGAGTACCAGAGAACAGATGATAATCGAATACGAGAAGAACTTGGCCAAGTATTACGACCTGTATTCCACGGAGCGGCCCGAACAACGTTTTAACTCATACAAACACACGTTTGTCGATACTTACCAGCAGAAGCTGTTAGAAGTCGAGCGCCTTTGCAACGAGGAACTGGAAAGAATACGCGAGAACATGAACTACTTGCAATCTTTTAAGGAGATCGCGTCGCAGTGGTCGCTGAACGAGAACGATCGCGGTGATTCCAGCCGCAAATACATCGAGCAAGCCGACACCGAGCACTCGAAAATTGCAGAGACGAATTTCGATAAGAATAACTGGTGTCTTAGGCTTGGTAAAGTGGACGACGAAGTCAATATGACCCCAGAAATTTTGTCAGCTCGATTGAAACGAGAAGACACGACGTAGGGGCTTTCCCTACTGATGCTATTGCAATTTTATGCATATTATTATGAGTATATTATTATCAGATTATTTATTAATTATTTTACCAAATTATTATATATTATTATCAAATTATTATGTAATATATTATATTATCAAATTCAAAACAATTCATCATCAGTTATTATTTTTATTTGTGTCAACTCGATATTACGATCCTTCATATAAATCAAATAGATATTCTTTTTCTCTGTAGTTGGATAAGCTACAGTCGCGGATAATATGCCCGACCGAGACAGCTTAGATCTCGTTCTCGTAGCAATTAAACTTGATTAAGCCCAATTCTCTGTGAATCTATAACCGACGGCAAACATATCTTATACGTGCGCAAGAGAAGCAAATACCAAGCACTCTCGAGCTTGGACTTTATTATTTTTACTCGGGAATAAAAGAAAAAACAATTATACTTGTCCGATGTGTAAGTGTGACGCAAGTAAATAGATTTATATTAAGCCTAATCGTTAATAAATTTTTTATTTGTGTAATAAAATTTATTGTGAAATTGTCGTGAAACATATAACAAAGAAGAAAGCTATTACATTATTTTTTAGAATCATTGATTTAAATTTTTCGTTTTATCTTCGCATTTACAAAATCGATACGACTCAAGGTTGTTTCTCCAGCTCGAGTTTCCCAGCATTCTCTGAAATAATAAAAAGATCGAGATTATGCAAGCAAACTTAATGGATTATGTATTAACCGGGACGTCTGATCACCTTAATTTTATGGACATATCTTTTATTTTAACGTATTCCACAAGAATTTTGAGCATACATTTTCTTGATAACGTCATTAGTTAAGATAGCCACGGCGAAGACATAACAGTTTTAAGGGGATGCTGGATACTAGCATGATGCAATTTTATTGATTATACTGTTTTTTTTATTTGCATATAATTGCAAATGATTTTACAGAGTGAAAGCATAAATGTTAATGCTTAAAAAGGCAGCAAATATTATATCAGAAACTAAAAAAAATTTTTAAAGCATTTACAATTCTATATGCAGTCAGATAGAAAAATTCTAGATAGACATATTTCAGCATATTATCTGCTTAATAACTAGCATGTGTATGCAAAGATATGTCCTCATACATCAGCAAAAATTCAGTATATATCCGGAAATATAAAAGAAAGAAAGAACCTACATAGCACAAGATTTAAAAGATGTGTAAAAGACATCCATAGGATTGCTAAATGTCCGCATAAGTCCTCAGAATATCCCAAAAATATTCCGAGGACTTCTAGATGTTCACACAAGTCCCCAAGATATCCCTTCAAGATCTTGTGGGATGAGAGAAGATCTTGTGCTATGAGGGAAGTCATTGAGGGAATGCCATGAAAATTGCGACAATATCACAGCAATATTCTATTGCCATGAAAATTACTGCTCATTCTACTGGACAGAAAACGCAATTAATCCGGAATTATTATAGTAATAAAAAGAAAATAAAATTGATTAAAATTATGACATAATGAAGGGATATTTTTTTTTTAACAAGCACATTTTAAGCACGTTGTACTGTTGCAATAGCATTACAAATATACATTTAATGTTTGTATACTATGTTCAGCATTTGTCTACCTGGCACAGTGCAAACTATGAAACTGCATTATTCAGTATTCAGAATCATTTGAATCACAATATCTTTGATAAGGTACTCACGTGTGCAATCTGACATTGATTGTTGCTGTATCGCGGTGTCTCGTTTGACACGAAGATGTATTTTATTGACGCGAGATCTGGCCTCCTCTAATAAGGCTCTGCTGGATTCAATGCGCTTTGCCACAGCAGCCAGTTGTATCTTAACAGGCGCAAAATTATGACGAAATTTTTCATTTAGGGATATATTCTATAAATTTTGACGGCGATTACGTCAATTCTAATAGCTTACGTCAATTTCTGAAGGCTTCGCCGCCCTCGCCACTAATTGATTTTCGTCGCTGAATATCTCGCAGATATTCGCCAGAAATGAAAATGGTTGCTGTGGAGTTTCTTTAATTCTACATAGAGAAACTTGCAGATCTTGAGAGGACATCCCGTCGATGTCGTATGAAGGGATAGCCGGCTTTTTGAAATTGTGTTTGGATTTCGTAATTTCTTGTCGAATTGTAGCTTTTTGCACTAATTTATTAGCGACGTCACAATTTGTATTCTCATTAATATATAACTTGTCGACCATTTCAGCCAATGTTTCAGTGAAATCTATCTTCTCATCATGAATAAGTTCATTTTTTCCATCGTCGACCAGTTGGCATCGCGTTGACATTGAAGACTGCAAGAAAGTTAATAACTTAGATTTTCTTCGTCTATTAAAATTACAGAAGAGTTTATTCAATAATTATCGATATTGCACCTTCCTTTGTGTTCTCTCTTTAATAAAAAAATAAAAAAAATAAATTATACTTCATGTAATTATGAATAATTTCCTTGGTTTCATTAATAGTTATTAAACCGACTTAAATATGAATACCAACTTACCAGTAGAATCCTTCACGCTATCACAAAATCCTGTACATCGAGTGAATTTTATCTCGATGTTGAATAAACAATATGGTTACTGTCGTTACCGTTTAATCAATTTCATAATATGTTGTAGCAGTCACGCGCGGTTAATTCAAAGCTAGCTTTTTAACTTTAACGTAGAAGGAAATATATGAGTGTTTCTCAAAATATTCCTCACCGGCTTTGATGAGTTTTGGACATGCTGGTAGAGCAGCTAAAAATAAGACGCACGTATATTGTTTTTACATGTTTTTGCTGGTGGAGATACATGAAAAAATGTTTCAGAAAAATTCTATATCTGATATACTTAATAATTCTGCGTTTGAATTTTTCAGAAATATCATATAAAGGATATGTTAAAGATGGTATATTTTATATATTTATATACATGATTACAAAAGCATTGGAAACTATAAAATTTATTATAAATTATGATAGGGGAAACATCAAATAAACGTAAAAGTATATTTCTATAAAATAATCTTCATTTAATCAAGCCGGTACAATTGAAACAAAAAATGAACATTTATATGAAGAAAATCTCATAACAAATTTGTTAGGCGTCTCACACATACATTTATGGCTTTCAACTTGTCAATCGCATAGAAAGCTGAAGTCTTTCTTAGTCTAGGATAATATGAATTTTCTATCTACGATACAATTGCACAATTAAGTCTACCTCACAAATATTAAAGCTATCACAGTTCCTTAATTTTTTTTCTTTGTTCAAATATATATATATGTAAATACATATATATATACATATATATATATATATATATATATATACATACATACATACATAGATATATATATATATAATATAGAGAACTGATTTTCTTAAAAAGACTGTGAAGCTAATACAAATTAACGGTCTTACATCTGCGTTTTGTAGAAAAAATGGAAACAATTTCAATATTGTAACAAACAGAACTCCATCAGAACAATATAGTTATTGACGATGGATGTAGAGTATGGAGTTTTACGATTTCTCGGTTATTGCGTCTTGCGTTATGTATAGTTTTTCCTTTAATATATAATCCATTACAAAGAAACTGTAAAACTAGCTTTTTACATGTATATAATATATCACAGCCTAAAAATAAATAAGTCTCGCGTCTTCAGGATTCTGCTCCACGGGGCAATAGGGACATTTTAACCTTGAAACAAATTGATTTCTTTTAAAAAGTGACTTCACTGCTAATAAACTCTAATCTCGCCACATATGAAGAACTTACTTATTCGCGCTGGTGAGCTTATTTAATGCGTCACGTGATATAACGTGCCCGCAAACTAGTTTCATTGGTGGATTACTCTCTGTACTCTGTTGCCTGAGAATAGGACAGGCGAAAACAGAGTGATAACGACCTTGCTTACCCAAGTCTATTTCAATCTGTATAGAAAAAAACAGTATGAAGTTTAAAACTGTGTAAGTTAATACACATATATTTACATATATCTGCATGTACACACTGAAATATCTAATATATGTAAACAGCATATCACTATTAGATAGGCGAGTAAAAGAAATGAAGACTGCATAGGACTTTGATAGCTGTGTTCTACAGAAAAAGCGAAAGAGAATTTGATTTACAGCCCAGTCACCATTGACTGATATTTTTTTCTCTTATTTTTATACGTGTATAATGTACCATAACTTACGGGTAATTCGTCTTTGCCACTCCAAATGCCAGTCACTTGTCTTTGTTGCATAACTTGTTTGATATTTAATAACGCAGGTAATGCGGTGCATCCTGCATTAATACTGCAATTGAACAAAATACTTTGTTGAAATACTTTGTTTTAACCACAGTTAATTCTTACGATTAATTTAAGGACAAAAAACATACCAAACAGAGAGTGGACTGTCAACACTTAAGCCTAATAACATGCAAGCTTCCTTGGTAAAAACATCATGTATCTCGAGCCACAGAGTTGGATCCAATAAGTGGCTGTAGGGAGATGACTGAATACCATGTGGTAAATAGAGTAAAGTACCCATTAAAGATTGCACGTCCTTTTCGTGACGTCCAACGAATTGTGTGAGATTTTGACGAGCGTATAATATGGCCTCTGTTTGCTTACAGAGACCTTGTTGAACTAGTCTTATAAAATGTAATCGGTGCAGTTTGAATTCAAGAGAAGAATTCTAGAACAAAATGCAAAATTGACGACATCATGCCAATGCAAAATAAACTGCATATTTGTGTGAGCAGGTTATAAATTACTTGCGCCAACAGTGCTTCTCTATGTTTCTTAGCCCATTCTAATGCTGGTTCAAGATTTCTCTGTTTTAAACAATCTAGTATGAAATTTAATTCTGTGAATGGTTCCTTTCTGCCCTCATCGGTCTTGATTCCAGCTTCCTAAAACATACATTGCTGATACAATACTGTATCCAATTAAGCTGACATAATATAATCTTGCATTAGATAGCACATATTGCATATATTATACAGATTGATAAAAGAGACTTACTGCTGCTAATTCATCAGCAATATCCAGCATCCCTTGGCGATAAAAGTGTTGGCAAATTACTTGATTTAGGAGATGAGATTTCTCTGACCCACAGAATACATCTTCTCTGCTGGTACTAGCAAAATCGGCGATGAAATTTCTGTCTATTGCCTTACCTACTCTGGAGACTGTACCGTGCAAGTCACGGTGATCTGTTGCCAATTTTATTACAGTATCACGTATTTTTGTCATTGCTTGCTTCAGTACTTGCACTTGCTCAGGTGTTACATTATGTTCAAGTGGTACTATAATAAATGATATTTATAAGTTATTTGTCAAAATAAATCATAAATAATTTAATTGATTTAATTAATTTGATGTTAATCTGATTCATTTTGTATTAACTATAAATCATGCTACTTAATAGATAAAGAATTGTATCAAATGTATTATGTATTAATATATAAGAGGTTAATGTATAAAAATATTAAACAATAACCATGACAAAAATAAATAATAAGCTTATTCTAACTTTTTTTCACTGATAAAGGTATCTCTAAATATAACTCATAAGATAATTAGAGAAGGCTTTTGAGTCACATATAGAGACACTTATCGATAAAAAAAAGTTCAAAATAATTGCCTAAATGATATATATTAACTATGTTTAGAGGTTAGGAATTTTTAAAATAACACGTTACAGACATGTATATTAACAAACTAAGATTAATCTACCGAATAATAAATTTAACCCATTGACGATCAGAGGATGTAAACTTCTTGAACTGTAAGATCTGACTACCAAACGATTTCTGACTCTTATTCTTACTAACATAAAGACAAAGATGTTAGCAAAGATTTAAATACCTTGCTAACGTATCTCACCTGTCTCTAAATCTCTCTCAAGGGATTCAATGTGATTTATCAGATCGGACAACATTGTTTCTGCATGTTCGTTAATAGTAGTGAATTTCGATAAAACTTTATCCACTTCGCGCTCGACATTATTACACGCATCCATTATTATTGCTTATGGTGATTGACGTTTACGTGTAGAGAAAAGCATAAACTTACAGCTGATACGGAAACGCGTAGTAGTACAAAGTACGATCGGCGCAGTGCGCAGGCTTTGGGTCTGTTCTTTTTGGCTGCGCGTTGACAAACATCAAGCCAATTCCAGACTGTGCATTGAAGATTGAAGTTGCTTGAGATAGGATATTAAAGATCATGATACTTGACCAATCACGACAAAAGAAATTTTATTGGGGTAGGAAGTACCGTTAAAATTTGTTTTACCCACATCTGTGGAATTTAATTCCCTTCCCACGATCGCCGTGTGTGCGATTTGTATGTATATATATACATATCCACGTAATATATATAAATTTATAAAAGACTGACATATATTCTTTCAATTGTATTGAAAAATATATACATTCAACACAGGAATATACAGAAATTGTAACTTCTTCTCTTAACATAACTTTGTATTAAGTAAGTATATGAAATAAATCGGTTAAGCACATGTTTATAGGTTATATTGTGTTTACAAAAAGCATAGGTATACTATAGGTTTATTTAGCATTTGTTAATAATTGTTTGCTCTTATTTCTGCTATAGTTAATGTCATGTTATTTACAAAAGAAAAAATGTTTGAATATACTATTGGTTGAATCTCAATATAATTTGTAATGACTTATTTTTATTTTATATTTGTATTATACTTTTATTTTTCTTTGCAGAATGGAGTCTAGGACTGAATTTAAAATAAAATCACCACCGACAGATGCCATTTCTGCAGTAGAATTTGGACCAAACTCCACACAGTTCTTATTAGTATCATCATGGGACAGTACAGTGAGGTTATATGACATTCACGCAAATACAATGCGATTGAAATATAATCATGATTTGCCAGTATTAGATGTTGCATTTCAGGTAAATGAAGGTTGTAGAATAAAAAAGATAGCTTCTTATACAATTCTTTCTACAACATACAATTATCTGTTATAGGATGCTGTTCATGCATATAGTGGTGGTTTAGGAAGTACTTTGAAGATGTTTGATATAAATAGCACTACTGGTACTGTTATTTTTCCTTGTTTTGAATTTCTCTGTTTACATGTTTTATATATTTTACATGTTTTACATAGTTCATATGTTTTACATTTATCATTAAAGTAAATTGTATATATTAAAACATCTGTTTATAGAAAAAATCTGTTTATAGAAACGGTAATGGGCACACATGACAAGGCAATCAGAAAAATTGAGTTTTGTGCAGCGGTGAATGCTATATTAACTGGTGGTTGGGACGCTGCAGTAAAACTGTGGGATCCACGATCACCTACTTGCGTGGGTAGTTATTTGCAACCAGATGTGATTCTTGCTCTCTCTGTTTGTGGTGACAAGTTTGTAGTGGGAACTGCAAAACGAAAAGTCTGTATTTGGGACTTGAGAAATATGGCAGGCATGTTTCAGAGACGAGAAAGTAGTCTGAAATATCAGACACGTTGCATTAAAGGCTTTCCCAATGAGCAGGTATGTTTGTTCTTCAAATGTTCCATGTAATTCGCTCAACTCGATAATACTCGATAATATGATGAGAAATCTAACTAGATTCTATGTACTTTTAATTGTAGTCACTTTTCAATACTGTTTTATCAGTAGTATATATTTTGTGTGTTCTTATTGTAATTAATACACAAAAAAGATTTTTGGAAAAGAACAAAGATAAAAATAATTCTGCAAAGTTACAATTACATAATAGGACTTTTAATATTTTTCATTGATATCAAACTGTTTATATAGTATCTATAATATATATACATTTTTGTATTTTATTCTCTTATTTTTATTATGTTCTAGGGTTATGTGTTGAGTAGCATAGAAGGCCGAGTTGCCGTTGAGTATCTCGATACAATGCCGGAGGCCCAAAAGAAAAAATATGCGTTCAAGTGTCATAGAATCAAGGAGAACAACGTAGAGCATATCTATCCGGTAAACGCTATCAGTTTTCATTCTGCATATAATACATTCGCCACCGGTGGTTCGGACGGCTACGTGAACATTTGGGATGGTTTCAACAAGAAACGCCTGTGCCAATTCCATCGATATAATGCCGGCGTGGCTGCACTCAGTTTCAGCCACGACGGTTCCGTACTCGCGATAGGCGTGTCGTACTTGAATGAAGCTGAGATTCCGCCAGGCGGAAACGATGAAAGAGAAATTTATATAAGATATGTTAACGATCAGGAAACCAAGCCTAAGTAACACTGTTGACTATTGCATAAGATATTGTGCAAAGAATCAGGAACAAAGCATATATTAGGTCTGCTCTTTTTAGCTGTATTTGCAATATTTTTCTTTTAATCTTTACCTTTATAATTTTATCCTTTAATGCATGATTATATACTTATTAAGTGAATATGAATTATTCAAAAAAATATGGTATAAAAAATTATATAGCCAGAAATGTTTAAAATTTAAATGAACATTACTCCGTGAAAAGTCATTGTACGAGCAACTTTCTTCCGAGTAAACATCTTTTTTCAAGAGTAAGTAGTAAAGTTTCAAGGGTAAATAAGAAGTGAATTTGAATCTTGATTCCGCTATTGAAAAGTAAGAACGTAATTTTTATAGTAAAAATCGCGTATTTTAATAGAAATCTATAGAACTGATAACATTTTTTTCGTAAAATTTATTTACAGGATTGTAAAGATTGTCTTTTCTTTTAATAAAAAAAAAAAATTATGCGTACGATTTTCTTTCGCAGAGATATACCACAATCTAAGATAATCTGTGTATTTTCACGATCTATCGCCAGTATTGACATCACTCGATGTGAATCGCGAGGAGGTTGCCGATCGGATTTTGCACATCGTATATGTAATAGATTTTGTGTAAATGTGTATATATGTATATGTGCGTAGGTTTGCATAAGTGTGTGTTTCTCTTGATGCGAAATCAAGTCTTCTAGCCGTTCATGCATGTTGATACAAATCCTTATTTTCTCTTCAGGGTATCAATCATGCATCTTTTCTCCCAGCGTGAACTCGTGAAAAGTTGCAGTGAAAATTTTCGCATTTCCATTGTTTAAGAAGTTATATGTTTACTACAGTCGTCGAGTTCGCGTGGAACTTTTTACTTTTCACGTTTTCATTTTTAGGAAAAAGTTACATGATAGCTATCCGAGAATTTCATTGCTGATTTGGATTAACACTTCTCTACCCTTTTTAAATTCTTGTTGGCTAATGGCCTTCTTAAATTTATTAAATATCCGATATTAAATTTCAAAACTCAATTTTATATATTTAATACCTATGTATAAATTTACATATAAATTTACTAATACATTACATACAATATGCAAAATCCGACCGACAACCTATCCGCAGGTAATGTCAATGGTGATGGAAATGTACGAATAATTTTGGAATGTGACATATCTTTGCAAAATCGTATGCGAAAAAATTGTATGCGTATAATTTCCTTTCTTTTAACTGAAGAGGAAAATCAATTTTTATAATCTCGTAAATGAAATTCACCAGAAAGTTTGCCCTACATTTTATGGATCCCACTGAAATACACTATTTTTACTAGAAAAATCACGTTCATATTTTTGGGGTGATAGTGAGATAAAAATGTTATAAAAGAAAAATCTAACAACAGTTTCTTAAGTAGACACTTTATTCTCGAAACAAAACAAAAAGAAAACAACAGAAACAGAAGAAAACTGTTCGTACGATGATTTTCCACGGAGTAATGCTCATTCAAATTTTACCTATTTTAATCTATAATTTTACGCCAAATTCTTTTGAGCAGTATAATATAATACAGCTAAAAGGAACACACATATATAACAGAATATGATTATAAATTTGCGCTATTATAAATATCAAATTGATAAAAAAATAATTTGCTCTATCTTAAGGACGAACATATTCTGTGAGTAACGTTAATTGTAAATACTCTGACTGAATTAATTTATATGCGTCGCACGATAAATAATAGATGATTACTAGGCTAATAAATTTTCAATAAACTACTTTTTACCTAAATTTCGTGTCTTTATTGACTTTATTATGACGTAAGTATTTCCCTTTCCACATTTAGTTTCACATTCAGTATTGATACTTTCACATGTGCAAGCAGTTTTAAGTATTTTATCATATGTCTAAGTGTTCATCAGTTTGTTACAAATGTTATCCTTAGTAAACGTGAATGGCTTCTTTATTTAGACATATTAATTCACAGCCTCTTGTGCTACAAAATTCATTAGAATAATTTATATACTTGATAACATTAAAGAGATTACAAATATATCTGTTTTTCATATTAATATAAATATAAATTATATTACAATCAAACATATATAATATTCTAACTTAATTATGTGAATTTTTGGAAAAGAAAATTTAAGTTAAAATTTAATTTAAATTAATTATATTTAGATAAAACGCGCAGATTAGAAAAATAGGATAAAATAAAAAACTACACTACTGTATAAAATTTATATATTTGCTAAATGGCTTTACACAGTAACCAATACAATGATTGCAAACAAACTACAAAATTTAGAAAAATAAATAGCCATTTTTATAATATATGCGTGGTAATTGACATTATTTCCAGAAATATCCAAATCAATGACTAAAAAACGAATATGTATATATGTGTGTGTGTGTGTGTGTGTGTGTATTTTTGTATGTATATATGTATATACACATATTAAAGAGGTAGCAGTCTCTGGACAAATCTGTTCAAACATAAAATGCTACAAAAAGTAGAAAAATTAAAAGAGTCCCGTATCCAACAAAAGAATTATTTTCTTTTTATCGATACGAAATGTAATTATATTTTTGTCCTATAGTTTTTATTACATTAACTTCGTATTTTCGATTCCTAGCAAAAATGGTAGAGTATTTATAAGTATGTACAATGTATATTAAAAAGTATTTCATTGAACAAGATATACTTAGATATAATTGCGTTCTTAAAAACTCGATTCTCCCGGAATTTACAATTTTTCCTTCAGTTAATTATAAAACGATTTCGTAACAACGCAAATAAAATTCTTTTTGCAATTATCACAAGAAATGACTAGCCTGATTAGCCCTGTTCCCTTTACAATTTTACATCGTAATTTTATAAATTTTTTACAATGTTTCTAGCTTTGCGTTTTATTGTCGCTATCGACTATTCAATGACTTATTCAAGTTTTTTAATTGTGAGATAAGAATTGTTAATTTATTACAGGATATCCTAGACTTTTCTCCGCGATTTTTGTAAGAACGTAGAACGAATTGAGGTGAACATAAAAGTTCCATATCTTTTTATGATATTCACAAAACATCTTGATAACATATTAATTAAAAACGATTAATGAATGATTACGTGCGATATAGTAGATGAGCTGTAGTGACGCCGTCTGCTTTGTATACTCATACATTAGGTCAAATAACCTAGGTCAAACTGAATAAAAAAGAAGTCCTCTACCATTTTACAAATGATCATATAGATTTTTATATATCAATTAAAAAAGATTTGTGTATTATTATGTAGAATCATGTAACAATTTTTTAAAAAATCTATATTTGCAAAATGATAAAGGGCTTTTATTTGCAAAATGATAAGGGTTTTTTGTTCCATTTGACCTAATGTATAAGCACACATCGCCACTAATCATATCGCGCGTGATTGTTCACTAATCTTCTTTAATTAATATCTCGACTGTCATTGTGAATATCGCTAAACAGTACAGGACTTTTATGTTCATCTCAATTCGTTCTACGTTTCCAAAAAAAAAAAAAATTGCGGAGGAGACTCTAGGTCTACACTCTGTACAGACATAACGCTGAATAAATCATAAAACGGAAGATTAGTCGAGTAATAACATTGTTTTTTGAGAACGTAGTTTATATTCTGAGAATATAATATTCTTGTATTATACGGCCTGTTATATTATGTGTCATCATTGTGTCCTCGAAAATTCTCTAGAGTATTGTCATTTTTAAAGTAAAATGAGTTTTACAAGTGCTTCGAGTATACGTACTTTCGGGAAGTATAAAGTATACCAGTTTGTTTGCTTTTATTATATATAGAGCTCGCAAGATGATTTCTTTGTATTTCTTAAGTTGGAAATAATCTCCCTTCAACTGTACCTGCTTTTAACATCACAGTGTTGAGAGTACCTGTTATTATTTCTCACGCATGCACATATTATATATATATATATTATTTTACATCATTCTAGCTTCAACGATCTTTATAACCTTTGAAATAACAATATATACAGAATATTTAACAATTTGTACTAATGACTTTCTGCCTCTCGAAATGCCCTCTTAAAATAACAAAATACTATTATTATCTCGCCGTATTTCTTTTTTTATGATATATCTACTATAATAATGCTTTATTGTTAACAATATTTTGTGCTTTCAAAGTTTCTTTTCTTTTTCGTTGAACAGTTTTAAGGAAGTTGATGTTGGCATATTTATCCATCGGTAGAAAGTGTCATCTATATCAAATGATGGATGCGTTATCTTTGCTGTTCTACTGAACGCTAGATTTAATTCCGTTAATTTTACGTGTTCTTATCTTCACAAATAAATACCCTAAGTTTGTGTCGTATCGCGTCATGCGTGGCAAAGCTGACTCCAACTGCGATGGGACCTTTGACCCAATTCATGCTTAAGCTTTTGTAAAATGCCATTATTCCTTCTTCCCTGTAAAATGCAAGATAAAAGAGTGATTTAACAAGATTTAATAATTTCGTATCTTACTACCTACAGGTAAGCAATTGTATCTGCTACAAAAAATAAAATATAACTTCACGGTATCTATTATAAAATTCATACACTCCCGATCCTTAATTCGTGTGATTAATGGTTTGGATACTCACGTGTAAATTTTCACGATGGTTGATTTGATTGTGTGATAATGCTGCCCCTTGATCGCCGATGTCTGCATTCTCCGCCTCACGATGTCCAGTGGGTAGCTGCTTGTCTGACCAACCACTCCAGCGATGCCGCCGCAGATGAGTGAGGTCGAGAATCCCGGAATAGGCACGGTGTACACTGTTCATCGACACGTAGCCATCATCATGAAGCACGCACGCTTCGAAACACGTCGCCGTTGTCGGGCTTGTTGTCTCGACAAGCGCGTCGCTATTAAAGAGTAAGTACCCAAGTCCCAATAACGGGGAAATAGGCTCCCGCTGTGCACTCACGAGAGTGCACTCTACTTTATACGTGTTTACTGCTTTGCTTTGCATATGCAAACACCTGGCATCAAGTCGTACAACTCGTGAATGAACCGCGCGACTCACCAGCCATTAGGTTTTTCAGGAAGTCGTACGTGAAGAAGCTGCAACCAGCGTACGGGATGGCGCCAAGGATTGTGGCGTTGAAGCCGCGGTAATACGCCAGGATACCCTCGTCTCTATAGATACGCCAGAACACCTGTCGCAACGTCTTGTACTCAGCCTTTACCGTCACCGCCATCCTAGCCCTCATCATATCTAATGGATAAGTCATAGTCTGCGAAGTTACGCCTGCCAAAGAGCCGGCCAGGAAACTCGCCCACGGCTTTTTCCTGCAAACATTTACCAAGCATCAGTACTTAGTGCTGAATCTGAATGCAGAGCGGCGATCTTGACAGGAAAGGCTGAATGTTTGTTCCACGTATGTTTATTTCATTTTAGCCAAATACCTTTCCGAGCCGTTCACCCTCAGAATTCTCTTCCACTGTTCGTGCGCCGTGAATTGTACCGCGGAATATGGCACGATTCTGATCATGGTAGCGCTGTTTCCACGCCACAGACTGAGAAGGCCCTCGGTGCGCATAGCTTTCACTAAAAATTGTACTGCAGCCCTGGCTGAGTAAGGCTGCTTCGAAATTTGAAAATTGATTTTCGTACGATCTAAGGGCGCTATCGTAGTTTTCGCCAACGCGCCCGCTATCGCGCCGGACAATAAACTGGTCCAAACTCTTTGAGCGTTTGAAATACTGTCCATCTGTTTGTGTTTTTTCTGTTCGTCCTGCAATATGTAAATGCGAATATTTCTTATAGTTACGATCAGAATAAAATTCATATTGGATAACAGGACATAATTATAATATAATATAATATAATAATGTAACTCTTTACGCTGTTATGCTGATAAGGAGCCGTTTTCCTTTGTCCGGAGCCAAATAAATGAATTACTAAATTAATTAATAAAAATAGCCAAATAAATGAATTACAAAATAAATTAATAAATGAATATCAATCGATAAAGAACATTTCAATAAGTGCTAAGAGTGAAGATTACATCTGTGAATTCATTAGAGTTCCAGAAATTTCGGATTTCGTCCATTGTTCCATGTCATGTCCAATGCTTTGCTTGATCACTTTGAAGACTTTTACGGGACCATTCTAGAAATACCAAAATGATAATTAAAATTTATTGCAATTTATTGCAAAATTATGGCAATTCGCGTACAATTTGTCTAGAAAGCAATGATTGAAGCACTGATCGCAGTGTGCACATCAGAATTCGGAAATCCGAATATAACCTGCGAAATGACCAGTGCAGAGGTACTCAAAATCAAAATAATACTCTACCGATGTGACAAATGGTCCAAGTCAAAATTTTAATTATCATTTTGGTACTTCTAGAATAATGCCATGGTCCCGTAAAGACCTTCACAGTAACGAAGCAAAGATACTGATGAAGATATAATGTGGGGCAATAGATAAAATCTGAAATTTCTGAAACCCTAATGAGTTCGCAGATGTAATCTTCACTCTCAGTACTTATTGAAATATTCTTTATTGATTGGTACTAAAATTTATTTATTTGGTTCCAGATAAAGAAAAACGATTCCTTGTGAAATTTTTAATAAAATCTAACATATATAGGGTATCGAATTTTAATTGTATTTATTATGGAAAAAGAGCAATTCGAGTTTAAGCACAGGACTAATATGCTATGTACCATATGGGTAAAATCTTCCTTGTGTTAGGAAATCGTGTAATATTTATTGAACATGAATAATCAATATAAATAATCAGACATTTCGGCTCAATTATGAACCCTCTTCAGTGATAATAAAAACTCAAGGAACTTACAATACGAACTCATTACAATTAATTAAAGACCTGATTAAAATGACATGAATGTTAATCGCAATATTAAAGCTGACAAGACCGTTACCGAAATAATATTAAGTAGTCAAATTAATATTAAGAAGTAGCCGTCATAACTATAAAAAATCATAAAATAAAATAAAAGTAAGTAAAATTAAAATATAATAAATAATTAAAACAGACAATATAAAATACCTTTGTTGAGCTCAGCTAAAAGTAAAACGATCCTGTCAACGATAACATCGCCACGTCTAAGAAATACAAATAATTACAGATTTATATAACCGAGCATTAACATTGCGGCAACGACTCGTGGAAGAGAAGGAAACCAAAACAAAGTTTATTTTCATAACAAGCCGCAGTAGCTGCTGCCCAAATATTCAGTGTTCTTTTGTGAGTTAAGACCATACTTTTGAAATTTGATGAAAATCATTTCTGAAATCAGGCGTTTCAAGTAAAAACGTTCCTCCTGTAAAACTTTGGCATGATTCATGATAGGGTTCATAATTGAGCCGAAACGTCTGATTATTTATATTGATTATTCATGTTCAATAAATATTACACGATTTCCTAACACAAGGAAGATTTTACCCATATGGTACATAGCACTATTAGTCCTGTGCTTGAACTCGAATTGCCCTTTTTTCTATTTTTTGATTAATATCTTCGTTTGTGAGTTCTTATTTCTTTCTCTAAAAATTATTTATTATGCTTCAAATATATTATCAAACATACTAAAAAAACAAGATATTATAAAAGAAATATCAAATAAAAGTTATACAATTTTAAAGAGAAAAGAGAATGATAATATATATATTTAATTCGTTAATATTTAAATCAACTTTAATTTTCTTAATGGAATCATATAGTTTATCTAACACAAATCAATTTCTCTGATCACATCCTGCATATAAAAATATTGAAATATAACCATCGAAAAGTGAATATTTTTCGAGATATTATTCATTTCATGCTGATATTTTTCAGAACAAAATATAAAATATTTCGTAAAGTATATTCACTTTTTAATAGCCTTATTTTACAATACCTTTGTATGTGATGTAATGGCGGGTGAAATCGAATGTTAAGAAAAAACAGGAAAACCTTGAACATTTTTTTTAGTTACATTTTGCAGATACATTTTTGTAGATTCGTTGCATCAGTGTGCAAAGATTAATATTACCAATCGATTTCTTTTGTCAATCTGCGTACGAAAGTATTTAGATAAAATTATCGAAAAATGAATAAAGTATAAAATATTTTATATCTTGTATTAAAAGTACAATATCTTGTACTGAAATCTTACTTATACTGAATATCTTAGAAAGAAAATTAGAATAAAATGAAAAATATTTCAGGAAGCATTCATTTTTTAATAATTTTACCTCAATATTTTTTACACGCAAAATGGCCAGTGAAATTGACTTGTGTTAAAAAAATTAAAGTTGACCTTTTCAAAGTTATTCCAAAGTCAAATAAATATTATAATTTTCTATATAGTATTGTGCTTAGATGATTTTAAAATTATCTACTATAGAGATGAAAATATGTAAATATACATATATCCATCTTAGATGAGGTGTAAATGGTTTCGCTTTTAAAGCGAAACTAGTTAAAATATAAGATAATTATGTATTTAGAATTATGTATTTAGTACTATGTATTTAGATTTATGTATTTAGTACTATATATTTAGATGTTTTTCAGATACTTTTTAGATTTTACACAAGTATATAAAAAAGTTGCGCAGAAATAATAAAAAAGATAAAGAGAGAGATAAACAGTACTGTTCAAACTCTTTTGTTGGATATTGTATAAAAAATATCTTAAATCTTTTTTTTAGATAAAATGGCATATTTTTTCTAAGATAAAGATGAAATATATCTATCATTTTTAAGATTTTTCTGGAATAAAGATAAAATGTTTTTATCATCTAGATAAAGATATTAGATATAGAGATAGAGATAGAGATATCTAGATTTCTCCATCTAGATAACCATCTAGAGAGTTTCGCCCACATACTAGCAAATATCGCTATCTTCTCTCCTCTTGAAACTACACAATCTTTATTTTTTTTCTGTCTTTTAAGGTATTTATAAGTTGTGCCATTAAAATAGGACAAGTGCAGTAGCAACATGCACAATGTGAATTATCCAACATCCCAGATTCTTTGAAATATTTTTGAGAGGATGTATGCTAGAGGTAAACTGATGAGGATTAAGAGAAACCAGGACTAGAAAAGTCGCACTAACTCGTTAAACATGTTATCTTACCATGCCAGCTGCATTTTGCCTATCCATTGGCACAGCCGATGTGGCGGACGATGTGTGTTTCCCGGCGATCGGTAGCACCTGAAGGCGCTCGAGGACAGCTTGACTACCTTCGACGGGACGGGCTGCAGCATGCCCGCTCATCTATGGAGCACTTAGCTTCGTTTAAAATGAGTTCTCATGCAGGTCGTCTCGCGTCCGGTATGGTCAACGTATGCGCACGGACTGTTGTAACGACGTATTACTGCAAATATTTTATGTCATGTCAAGTTTTCTTCGTTTTCCTATTTTTCTTCTCTTATCTAATACTCTTATCTTATCATATTTATTTGCATCTTGAAAACTGTTACACCGAGATTTCTACAGAAACGTTCAAGAATGAAGAGAATTCATGTTTACCTCCTACAATTATTCATTATTAAAAAAAAAAGAACTCTGTTACATAACTTCTGATTTATTGATTATTACATTATTTATATACTTATTATTTATTTACTTTTGATGTTATGTAACTTCTACACATTCTTAAAAAAGATAAAATTGAATGGAAAAAAAATAAATTATTTAATCTAATAAACTACTTAATATTCAATTTAATAAACGCGAAACAAATATAAAAAACAATTTAACACAACAGTTTAGCATTTAATAAAACAGTTTAGCATTTAATAAAACGTAAACACAGACGGAGGGAAAATAATGTATTATATCGACAAATGCACACATAAAGAAATACATACTGCATTCAAATAAACGTTACTTGTCTCAGGTTTCATTTCATAAAGTTATATCCGCGAATGCATCATAAGCTCATCATTAATATCAAAATTGTTCAAAATATGTTCTTCATCTTAGTAAGTTTAACATTTCAATTAAGAATATTAAATTAAAACAAAAATTCGGCTTGCTTACCATATATAGTCGAACTATCTTTTTCTTCGATAGTTTTAGAATATTTTTGTAAAAAGAATAAATATTTTTTTTAATATATAATAACGAGCTTTTTCCAAATTTGTGATGAGTATAATCTTTAACATTATTACCAAGAAAATATTTTTTGTTGAAGTGAATCATTACTTAAAAGAAGAGGAAAGGAAATTGAGTAATCGCTTTTCTTAGCAGTAGAATTATATTTTTCTTTGTGTGAGCAACAGATGAATAAAGTGTAAGATAATAGTCCTAATTATGGATCACATTTAAAGTTAGAACAACTTTTAATGATTTACATAAATTTGTTGATCGAACTGTTGATATATAACTGTTGATATAAATATAAGCAACTAACATCATAGTTTTAAAATAATATTAACTTTAAATTAGTTTATTCTAAATTATAAAAAAATAATTAAAAATACGTAAAAGTTGCAATTATGAGTTAGCAAACATAACAGATATGTTAACAGATCATAACAGATTGTACGATATCCAACTTTATAAAAAACTCGAAGCATAATTCTAAGATTTAAACAGGTTTCAAACATATTAAAAATAAATCAATCAATTTGGTTTTATATCAAAATATTTTTTTAACTATCCACTACAAGAAAAAAAAAACTTCACTGTGAAAAAATAGTTAAAAAATACTGTGAAAGAATAGTTTAGAAAGAAAAGGAAATTTAAGAGTAGAAAGAAAAGTTAAGAATAGAAAGAAAGAATAGAAAAGGACGAAATTATTGTTTTACTGAAAGCGTGAGTTAACCTCATTGTCTCCTACGCAGGGTAAAGTGGGATATTTCACAAAACTTGTTTATTTTCAAATTATTGATTTTAAGATGTTTTTAAAAATGACGCATTAAAAAATGCAATACATAAAAATATATTATTGCATGTTTCATTGCTTATAATTATTTACTAACAACACTTTTCTTATAAAACAATATTCTTTTCTTATTAAAATATTAATAACAATCATTATTTAATATGGTAATTTTTGGTAACAATTTTCTCAAACATAAGATATGATAAGAAATAATGCAACTTTATATTTTAAGAATATAATGGTATAATCCTGTGTAATGGCATATCCCGAAATATATAAATTTGGATTATGTAGTACAAAACATCATGGATAGTTGATATTTGCACAGACATTTAATTAAAATAACGAAAAGATTATCTAACGTTAATATATATATATATATATATATATATATATGAAATAGCTGATAATAATACGT